ACAACATGATCCATATGTAAAGCTGGCCATACACCTTTACAGTCTGCAGACTTTCTATGGTCAGATGGAAAAGGTGCAACAGATTCCTCCACCTACACTAAACTGTGTGGATGGAGTAATCTCCACCTTGGCCAAGCTTCCGTAATCTTGCTGGTTTGCGCCGCTGGCTCTCAAAACACCTGAACAATGCCTGCATCCAATCAGATTTTTCAGGTATTTTGACAGCCAGCAGGGACGACTAGCAAGATACTGAAGCTTGGCCCAGCGGGAGATTCCTCCATCCACACAGTTTAGCGTAGATGGAGGAATCTGTTGTACTTTTCCATCTGACCATAGAAAATCGGCAGCTAAATTGTAAGGTGTATGGGCACCTTAAGAAGGAACAACACAGTTACAAAAAAGCACAAATCCACTGATTACCACATGTATGGTTAACAAATAGGACTAACACATAATGATGTGATGGACAATTGCCTAATAGAAAACCACCTCAAGCCCTTATTGAAAATGAAACTATGCACAATAAACACATGTCCAAGATAGCATATACCGTATTTTGCGTTCCATAAGACACACCGGACCATAGCACGCAGGGAGGTCTGTGACAGAAGCTGTGACAGAAGCTGCAGTTAGTGACCGCTGAGACAGGTGGCGCTGTGATTACAGCGCCACGGTCTCAGTGATCACACAGAGCAGACGAAGAACGTCCGTTCTTCGTCTGCTCTATGGTGATCTCGATCGCCGCTGCTGCTCGGTTTTAATACGAGTGATCTCATCAGATCACTCGTATTATTAAACGAGCAGTGGCTCCTACTGTACATTTAGCTCTTTTAAAAGTAAAAGAAAACTTGCACGCTAAAAATCTAAAACCCTATTTTACACTTGTGCATTTTTGGTGCAATTACATGCACATGAAACTACATTTAAATTGGATGATAGGATCTGCACCATCATAATCATTGACACTCTCATTCTCATACAACCCATTTTAATCCGTATAAGCAGCATTTAAAAAAAATAAATCACCTGCTGCGGAGATTAAAGTAAAGCGTAAAAAAGGAACAAACATAAATAGCAATACTGTACTGAGAGAATTTGCATTGATATTTTTTATGTTTAATCTCTTTTATGAAATATTTCAATAATAACACAAAAGGTTAAACATGAGCACATTGGGTACAGGGTTTCAGAAACAATGTAAAGTTAAACATATTACTCCCATGGGCAAGTCAAATGAACATATCATGACCCCATTATCCCCTCTTATGCACACATGGTGAGTGCATCAGCTAGAGGCCATATTATGATGAAGACAGATAAAGTTATGAACATAGTTATACCAAATGATAAAGAATGCATTTGCAGGAACTAAGAGAGCTATGGAGATTAGTGATGGGCTCGGGCGTGTTCGCAGCTCCACATGCCGAGCCCGCCAGGATGCTGACAGCGCCGCAGCGCCAATCACAGGTACTGAGACATTTCCCGATCTCTGCATTCACACTGAGCTGCTTTGAGGTACAATACGCGATATTGAGCGCTACGTAGCGTGCTTTTGAGGCGGTACTTTGTCGCTGTTCCTTTTGGCTGTAACCAATCAACAGCGATCTTGATGTGACATAATTCTTTCCTTCCATTTTGCAGTGCAAAAGTGACCCTTCTGTAGCGCGATATCGCGCGACAAAGTCGTGCACCATAGAGTCTATTGGAGCCAAATCGTGCGACATCCGCGGAAAAAAGGGTCATGTACGAGCGACAAGCTTGAGCGACAAGCTACAGGCGACATTGAGCTGTAAGATGTGAACAGCTCCATTGAAATGCATTGGACAAGCTACATAGAGCGATATCGCGCAGAAATATGCGCGATTTTGCAGCGGAAACTGCACGATAAACTGATCAGTGTGAACGGCGCCTTAGAGGTATTCCTATCCCAGGAGAGTAACTGTTCCATCCGATAGATGGAGCCCATCTCACATACCCATTTTGAAAGCCAAAGGGTGTGTGTGCTACAACACAAGGGGTGAAGCAGACCTGTAGCTTGCGGTATACTGAGACGCCGCAGTATACCGCGAGCTGCTGCTCGCGGTACACTGTGACGCCGCAGCTGAAGCGGATCCCGACAATTGTACCGGGATCCATCTCATACTTCTCCTTTAATCTGTTTATAGGAGTCGGGATTGCAGAGGGGATTGTGATTAAGGGCTGCAAGATATTTTTATTTTATTTGTAAAAGAAAGCTGTGCTCCGCCCACAGTCTATCCTCCACCTTCTGCCATTAGTAAGAACGTTATAGCAGTGAGCATTTTTTGTTTTGTTACATGGGGTCCCTCCTAAATATTCCTACCAGACCTTAAGAGCCTGGTATGACTTTTAGGGGAACCCCACACACTTCTTTTTTTGTTTTTGTTACATGGGGTCCCTCCTAATTATTCCTACTAGACCTTAACGGCCTGGTATGACTTTTAGGAGGAACCCTACACAGTTTTTTTTTTTTTTTACGGGCGGACGGCAAGTGGTTAAAAACTTTATTTTATTTTTTTTGTTGGCATTGATTCCTGTCCCCCAGAGCAGTACCCGGACCCCCATACACCATTTATGGCCAATAACTGGCATATAAGCCCTCTTAAAGGGGACATTCATTTTCGAACGTTCGACCCCCATTGACTTGCATTGAGTTCGAGTTCGTATGCGAACTTTTCGGCCATTCGAATGTTCGAATACGAACAGACCACAGGGGAGTTCGGCTCATCGCTAGTGAGCATTACAGAAGATGGAAGCTGTGCAGAAGGCTGGTCTTGTAAATGTGCCAATGTACCGCCAAACTGCAATCTATACATCCTAGGTTGACAACACTACTCCTGCAAACACATGGATTCTGTGATCAGTGTTGTCCTAGGTCAGGAAGTCCCTTACTGGCAGGATCGATGGTTAATAAACTAGAAGAGATAAAAAAAACCTGCCTCAATACAATCAACAGAGGGTTAACTAGGATTTTTTTGTGGGGGGAGAGTTTACAAAAAGAGCTGTCCCTATAATGAGGCAGCCTGAAGCTGTTGCCTCAGGTGGCATCTCTTTGGGTCATGTGGGCTCTGCTTGCTGCTCCCTTTCTGGCCAGAGCATCCCAGGTTGCTAAGAACCAGGCCGAGAGATGTGTAAGGGCCATAAACATCTCCCCTTCCTTCTTAGCAACGTGCGATGTTCTAGCTTGCGTCCCACCCATTTCCAGTGACATCGCTGGTTACCAGGAGATGAGCGGGACACTCTGGCCGGCATCCTGACCAGCTCTTGGCAACCAGTGCGCCACACAAACAGTAAACGTGTTGCAATAAATAAAACTTCTTGAATTTGTCGCATGTGTCAAGGGGTGACCATGGGCCAGAGTGTCTCAGGTTGCTAAGAGCTGGGTGGAAGATGTGTATGGCCCTCACCTAGCTCTTAGCAATATGTGACGCTCTGGCCAGAACTCTTCCTGCCGCCCCCCCATGTGACCCAAAAGAGATGCTGCCTGAGGCAATAGCGTCAGGCTCCCTCATTACAGGGACGGCATCCACGTGTTGGTACTAACAATGTCACAGGGTTTTAATGAATGTCACATGCTAGTATGTGTTTTGTTAAGGCAGTCTTTTCATTTGAATGGACTCTAATGCACCAAAATGGACCAAAAATCAGACAAGCAACCTTTCTTTAGATAACGCACGGTGTTGCCTGGGACAGGAAGTATAGGGAAATTTCCTGTGATACATAGACTGGGAAAATAAAATATAACTTGGTTGGGTTGTTTTTTTTAAATTGACAATTTTTATTGGTTTTTATAAAGGAACAAGACATATATTATTGTATCTAAACAGAGAGCCAGTCCTTCAACAGATCTGGGGACAGTGAAAATGAACAAACACGACTTCACATCAATTCCGTCTTACATCTTTGCTATTTCTTAAAGTTAAGTAAAGCTAAGAGACTAAACAAGTAGTACTACATCTGTAGTGGTGATTGGTTCATGAAGGCCTACATCTGTCTTGCTAATGATTCTTGACATGTCTTAATCCAAGATTAGGAAAGGAAAGAAGAGGAAAGAGCACTGGGCAGGACCAAAATATGTGAAACAGAGTACCCACACTCCCACCACACCTCCAGCAATTCGGGGATGTCGCCGGGTATATAGAGTGTAGCCTATCTGGCGTATAATACCAATGGTATAATATTTTGTATTGATTTTCCCTATATACCGAGCAAATCGATGTCTTGGCAGCCGACCGCCATATAAGTTCCCATTGCTGTGAGGTGATTGAGGTATTCAGGTCCCTATCCCATTTCAACATATAGGGTAATTTAGTAAAGCTGTCGTTTGGAGAATCATTTAACAATCTGTAGATAAACGAGATCAGACCTTTAACCTGGTTACCTTTTCTTTCACGAAACCCGAACACTGTAGCGACTGACGGAAAATCATTTTGGAGATTGAGTCGCAGCTTATTTATATGTAAATAGGCGATCCACTTTAATACAGATAGTCAATGACAATGCAGCTGTGTAAACCAGCCCTTTTATTTTTGTACCATAATTCCACTCAGCACAATACTAATTAAAAGCATAGTCCACCTTTCTGTTTATATTCCGGGTGTAACATGAACTTTGGTTGCATTCCCCAACAACCCAACCTCTGTACAGTCTTGGGCCTTAGGGAAGAGTTTGGTGGAGTCTGTGCACTGCACCCTCAATCCATTGATCACAGTTGCAATGCTCTGCAGGCTTCAATACAAATATATAATAATGGCACATTTGTTAATTTTATTAATGTGTGTGCATTTATTACATCTCTGCATAAGGTGAACTATGCCTTTAAGATCTGCATTGTAGCCATTTAGTAGCTACTACACACTAAACTCCCCTAGTAAAGTTTCACTTTCAACTAGTGGGCGGGGCCAGACATGCCCCAATTTTTTCAGCCAATCAGAGAGTTCCGGCGTCCTAAAGCAGAAGTATCGTGACGTATGAAGCACAACAGAGCGTCACCGAGCCCACCAGAGCGAGGCTTGGACCGCACGGCTCGTTCGGGGTGCTCACCTGCAGTGTTGCCACGTCACCCAGCCCGGGCGTGACGTCACAGGTGCCGGTAAACATGCTGCTCGGAGGCATGTGACCTACCACATGGACCTGGATGAGGCTTTCCTGGCAGTCGGCGAGTTCGGCAGATATCAGAAGCGGCTGACCGGCTTCCTAGTGCTGCTGCAGGTCGGTGCTGCCATTGAGGAGTGGGGAGATGTGTGCTGGGGAGAGGGAGGAGGAGGAGGCAGATGACAGCTTGGTCCGGAGACACCTCAATCATTCATAACCTCTCTCTTTGATAGTAGTAGTCACTCCTCATCCTAGTCTGTGACAGACTGCTGCTGCTGCAGAACCTCTTGTGGTGTAGAGCTTTTCTGAGTCTTTCTGGTGGGACAGGAAGAAGTAAAGTGTCCTGGAGTAAACCTAGTGCTCTCTGGAAGGTTGCCACCCCAAGATCTGTGAAAGTAGCAAACACCGGACCTGAAGGACAAACGCTATTATTTATACATGCATGCCGAAATACTGTCTTGACAGGTTCCCCATAAAGCTGCGTGCATGCTGAATTTCTTTCTTGACAGGCTCCCTATGAGACCATGTGCATACTGAATTTCTAGATTGACAGGTTCCCCATAAAGCTGCGTGCATGCCGAATTACTGCCTGGACAGGTTCCCTATAAAGCTGTGTGCATGCCGAATTTTTATATCAACAGATTGTGTATGAAACGCAATGCATGCTGAATTACTATATTGACAGGTTCCCTATAAAGCTGCGTGCATGCTGAATTTCTTTGACAGGTTCCCTATTAAGCTACGTGCATGCCGAATTACTGTCTGGACAGGTTCCTTATAAAGCTGCGTGCATGCCGAATTACTGTCTGGACAGGTTCACTATTAAGCTGCGTGCATGCCGAATAACTGTCTGGACAGGTTCCCTATAAAGCTGCGTGCATACTGAATTTTTATATTGACAGATTCTGTATAAAGCGTAATGCATGCTAAATTACTATATTGACCGGTTCCCTATACTGCTGCGTGCATGCCGATTTTCTGTCTTGACAGGTTCCCTATAAAGCCCTGTGCATGCTGAATTTCTAGTTTGACAAGATTCCCCATAAAACTACGTGCATGCCGAATTTCTGTCTTGCCATGTTCCCTATAAAGTGCCATGTGTAGAACAATCATACCTCTGTTATATGTGACACTAATACTTGTCCCCACAGCCTCTGCTAGAATACCAGTATGATGGGATGTCTCTACTGATGACATGGTCCGGTGTTTTTACATATTCAGATAAGGAGATAACAATCTACTAATCATGGAGGAGGAAATATTTATAGCAAACTTGCACCATTCATCTTTCTTTGGTCACGTTGGACCTGTTTATTTCTCTCTCTAAAGGAGATCCTGAGCATCCAGTGTAACTCCAGTTTTGCTGGGAATACAAACAATCCGCCCCTCAGGGCTTGTTCACACCAAGCGCGCTCCAGGAGCAGAGCAGTTACAGACCGGATCAAAACTGCGTCCAATGTATTCCAATGGTATTTTGGGCTCTAGTTCGCACCGCAGCGTTCAGTTCCAGAGCATGTCAAATAACTGCAGCAAGCCCTATTTTTCTTGCTCTGGAACGTATGGAAACACATCAAAAATGCATGCAAACGCACTGAAAGCCCATTTTTTTTAACCTAAAATGTAGAGCTGCAGCTAACGATTATTATCAAAATCGATTAGTTAGCCGATTATTAGGTTCGGTTAATCGGATAAACTCGGAACGCATCAAAAACGCGGTATAACACACTGCACTGCGTGTGCAGAAACTCGTGCAGATCTGGTCTGCATTTGGTGTGAACAAGCCCTCTATGTGAACTCTATACATAGAAGGATTGTACCTCATCTTTCTCTATTACAGCGTCGTTCATGGTACATTACATGGTAGCAAAAGATAAACTTCCGTATTGCATAGTACAGAGGCGTTGCATTTGTTTCTGATATTTTGCTAGCCTAAACATTCTAGCGCATGATTATACAAGTAAACTTAGAGAGGTAAGTTTTCCTCTGACAAGGATCTGCCTTCGTTATAGTCACTTGAGGAATCTCAGTGTGAGAAAAGCTAGCTATAGTGTTAGCATGCCCTTACAAACGCAAATAACAGGTCTATTCACAAAAGGGTGAAGAGTTTGGAGAAGGCAGGAGAAGTGAACAATCTAGGACAACATAGCTGATTTGGAAAAATTCTCCAATTCATCTCACTTTCCAGTTCAGCTATGTTGTCCTAGATTGTTCACTTCTCCTGCCTTCTCCAAACTCTTCACCCTTTTGTGAATAACTGTGTAAGAAAGTATTGTACTAAAAATGAAACTCTTGGTCATTGTACATACGTGCATCAGTATATGAAATGTACTGTGGAATGTGTATAGCAAACCTTCTACAAGGTATTGGCAAAGCTTTATCAGGCAGGTTTGTGGAAACCTTTAAAGCCTTGGTTCTCAACTGGTGGGTCGTGACCCAAAAGTGGGTCGCGACCTTGTGTTCAGTGGGTCACCGCATGCCTTCCACTTTTCTAGGTGAGAGGCTCCCCGCCTACCCCTAGCACAGCACTGTCAGTTCTTGCACCAAGCAGCCATTCAAAGTATGCTGCCCGGCGCTGAGTGCCAGCTTTAGGTGGGGCAGGCTGGGGCTATGGCCGTGAGGGAGCTCCATCTATACATGCATTGTAGAGGTGGCTGGACCGGAGTGACGTCACATTCTGGCTCCCGTCCCCTCTACAGGGCGCATCAAGGGAGCTGGGCAAGCAATGCACATCTGGATGGAGCTCTGTCACAGCCCCCCACACTGCACCCCAGGCTGAGGATCCACTCCAGTTCTTGTAAGGTAGGGAGACTGGGTGGACCTTCAAAAAAAAAAGTGTCTGTATGTATCTATGTCAGTGTTTTTGAGACCCGTTCACACTAGTACAGTGCGTCAAACTGTACCACACAACCGCACCTACCGTGCATTCTGGTGTGGGAGGTGCGTTGCCATTCATTTGAATTGTACACTAAATGCACCTCCCACCCACAGTTCATATGGCCGCACCAGAACGTGCAGTACCCAAATGCTGTGCGTTCCATTGCAGTGTGACTTGGGTTGCGACTTAATGACCAAGGACCAATGTGGGTACTGATGTTACACAGGTTGAGAACCACTGCTTTGAAGCACCCATGTGTTCCAGTTTGGGCAAGTTAAACATTGATCTTATTGTGAGTGGTGACTGTCACTTTAAACAAGCTTCCAGCTGGCTTTTAACAAGTTTCAAGTAGTTCTGAAGTCTTTTAGGAGCTTCTTAGTGACTGTTGGCACTCCCATTAAATGAGTTGTAGAGTCCCAGCATATACTATTCTGTTATAACATTAGCATTGTGATAGGAATACATGCTAGAGTAATTTATGTGTGGGGGCTGTTGGCTCCCTTTCAGCCGGCATTCTTCAATCAACTGATCGCAGGAGCCAGCTGGAAAATCTTAGATTGATCAGAGCCGGCAGCCAATGAGCTGCCCGCTCTGATCGAGTATTCGGACGCGCTGTTTGTTTTGATGGAGGAAATCGGGTTAATTTTTTTTGGTTCAGCCCCCGGGTTGAACAAAAAAAATCGATAGGTGTATGGCCAGCCTTTACTTTGATGTAGTGAGTGCTGCCTTCCATGTGCCCATCACTTTCATCAACTTCCTGGATTCCCAGTGTGCTATGCACCTCTTTCTCTGCTGGTTGATGTGATGCAATCTCAATTTCTCAAGACTACATAGCCCATAATGCATTGTTTCCAGCAAGCAATGATAAGGTTACAGTGTGGGAAGTTCAGAAGGCAGTCTCCATGAGAGCGGCGACGCAAGAAAGTGCTGAGTGAAATTGTGTCAGTGCATTGAGGAAGTACATCCTATGGGCATCTTCAATAAGTACTTTTACAAACTTCTAGATGAATATGGTTATTAGGAGTGGGATAGAACTTATGGAAATTCAGTCAGTCCAGGTTTTCCACAAGTCCCAGGATATGTTTGGCATTTGTGTGATTGGTATATGGTTTATTTGGAAATTTATATGGAATTCAGGAATCAGTCTGCACATTCCAGGAGCCATCAGGATGTTTTTAGAGCCAGCTCCATTGACAACAACTAGAGAAAACCTCAAAGGTTAGGTGCCAGCTAGGGATGCACCGATTCCACTTTTTTACGACCCAGTACCGATACTTTTGATCAAGTATTTGCCAATACCAATTACCGATACTTTTTCTTAAAGGGACAGGTCACATTTTTTCTAAAGCAATACAAACTAATGATTTAAAGTCAGTTTCTTAATATTATGATTCATGAGATGACGAGGGAGTATGACGCCACCTTTCCGGCCAATCAGAATGCCGGCGCTGCGTCATTACATGGTGCCCGGCTTCCGGATTTGCTAGCTTCCTGACCAATCGGGAAGCCAGGCAGAGCGTCATTACACGCTACCCGGCTTCCTGATTGGCCGGGAAATCGGCTCCATGCTCTCTCATCACAAGTGACGAGAGAGCATGGAGCCGTTTCCGGGCCAATCAGGAAACCGGGCAGCGTGTAATGATGCGCAGCCTGGCTTCCTGATACAGCAACTACTCGTGCTGGGTATCGGAGCATGTGGGAGAGTACGAGTACTCACCCAAATACTCGGTATCAGCACCGATACTAGTATCGGTGCATGCCTAGTGCCAGCTGTAATTTTTTTTGAATAATAAAAGTTTTTATTTTTTAGAAAAAAGGACGAAAAATACGGTTCAGCGATCTCGGCAGCTGCCATTTTTAGGGAACATTTTCTGCCCGGCTCCTGTGATTTATTCAGCTCTGCGTTGTAGTCGGTCACATTTGTACTGCAGTAAATTCCCCTTTCCCTATTCAATGATCTGCCTATTCCTGCAACTGGAAGTCTCTTTGGTCAATGACGTTATCTTGCTATTGCCCAAGAACTTCACAGACTTAAGCTGCCCATACACCTTACAATTATCTGCAGATTTTCTATGGTCAGATGGAAAAGGTGCAACAGTTTCCTCCATCTACACTTAACTGTGTGGATGGAGGAATCTCCACCTGGGTCAATCTGTTGCACTTTTTCCATCTGACCACAGAAAATCTGCAGATAATTGTAAGGTGTATGGGCAGCTTTTTAAGGTGCCCATACACCTTGCAA